TGCCCACTAGGGCCTCTAGAAACGAATACAACTTGGTCAACACTTGATTTTAGCCCAAAGAGACCTGTGTCAAACTTCTGACCTACAGAACTGTATGATAATAATATGTATTGTTTTAAGCTATAAAGTTTGTGGTAATTTGGTATAGTAGCAATAGAAAACTAACACCACAGGCAAACTGCAAGTACACCTAAAAAAGTTGGGAAGATATTTCCCTCATTACTTTAAAATAAAAATGATTGATGCAGCCCAGCCAGCATGACTCAGTGGTTGAGTGTCAGCCTAGGAACCGGGAGGTCACATGTTCGATTCCTGGTCAGGGCACATGCCTGAGATGAGAGCCCAGTCCCCAGTAGAGAGAGTGCAGGAGGCAGCCAATCAGTGATTCTCTTTCATCACTGCTGTTTCTATCTTTCTCCCTTTCCCCTCCTCTCTGAAATCAATAAAAATATATTAAAAAATAAAAAATGATTGATGCAGAATGCTACCCCCGAATGGTGTTTTTAATCATAATAGCTCTTCAAAGGAGGAAACATAAGACTCACAATACAGGGATGCAAAGCATGGACTGACATAATTCTAGGTGCAAATGTTAGTGGAGATTTAGCTATACTAGTATTTGTATTATGATAATTATAAGGGTTTTTGTTACAGCTCTGGTTTAAAAAATTACAGTTTTATTAAGATTTAATTCAAATACTATATTATTTAAAGTATACAATTTAATAATTTTTAGTATATTCAGAGAGCAATGTAACTATCACCACAATCTGGGGAAAAGGCAGGTTATTTTCTTCTTTTCCTCAGCTCTATTTTTTGAACTTTCAACAACATATATATTACTTTCGTGTAAAAAATTATTTTAATAAATTATTTTAGGGATTACCCATGCCTTATACAGTGAAGATGATTCAGAGTTAACTTTACTTAGCTCTACCACTTATAAATCAATGGGCTTATTTTCTCTGCAATACATCCTTAAAAAACTCCACCTTTAAACTCAAACTAAAAGCATAAATAAATTGAAGCAAGTTCTTGATTCTCAAATTGAAATACTTCTAAAGTAATTATATTAAGATTAAGATTATACGAAGAGTACGGTTTGACCTGATCGAAATAGGAATTACTGTTACATCAAGCTATGATGATTACACAGCATTGTAACTTCAGACCCTCAGACCTTTAAAGGGCTCTATATAGTGGAATCCCTTATTAGGAAACAAACTCAGAAAAGTTGAATACTTTGAGAATCACTCATTCAGTGCCTGAGTAACTAAAAAACCCCAAGATATTATAAGGCTGAAATGAACATAAGAAGTTAACACAAAAGATCCAAGGTCAATTCTTCAAAAAGTCAAAAAGAATGAAATGCTACTCACCGATATGGAAGCCTCTCGTAATAGGTCTTTTCCAGAGCAGCAAAATGATATCTTGGTTTCAAGCCTGTGGCAAGATTGGAGACCAAAGCAGAGCCACATTTTTTGGTATCCACCTCTCCCTAGTAAACAGAAACTCAGTCATCTTAACAGACCCAAGAGTAACCAAGAAATGCAAAGAAATAACAAGACACTTTGAAATTTGCATGTGGATATAAATGTTGGCAGTAGAATTTGCATAGTAAATTCTATGCTATGGAAGTCAAAGAAATCTCAAACATAAAAATGGAACTGGGTTACTATGAATGCAGAAACAGAAACAACTGTTAGGAGCCAGAGGTTAAAAAGCCAGTTCTCCATGCTAATACCCAAAACAGGGTTATTAAACCTCTTAAAATATTTTGGGGGCCCTTGCCAATGTGGTTCAGTGGGTAGAGCATTAGCCCATGGACCAAACGGTCAGGGTTCAATTCCTGGTCAAGGGCACATATCTTGGTGGTAGGCTCAATCCCTGGCCTGGGTCAGGGTGTGAGGGTGGCAACCAATCAATGTTTCTTTCTCTCTCTAAAAGTCAATGGAAAAATATCCTAGAGAGAGGATTAAAAACAAAAAATCTTCCTTGGAAAGTAAGCTCTCTGTCTGAAGCCCACTATACTTCTATAATTCGCTTTGTTGTGCACCTATAGTTATGACAATGCAGATAGTCAATGCACAAAATAGAACTAAAGCTAGCTTTCAGAGTCCCTAGAACCTACAGAATACTTGGGATGAAATATTCAAGGACTTCATCATATAAGCATGCAATCCTTTATTTTGCTTCAGTTTAGGAAGGTGTCGTTTGTGGACGAGCACATCATGCCATTGTTACAAAGTCTGCCAAAAGTTAGGGTCGTTCCCAGAAAATCCCTAGCTTCAATTAACAACAAATTATGTGATCTCTCATCCATAATGTAAAGATATTAGCTGGAAATCAATTACCAAAGTTAATTTTCCACTAAGTAAAGCAAGAACTCCTTTTTGTTTTTATGTTTGCCTCCTTCAGGTTTCTACTGAGGGGCAGGGAATTGGCCTTGAGGTTAGCTGTGGTATCTTAGCAACTGGTAAACTATATTTTCTTCCCTATAAGTATCGTTTATGGTTATTTATAAACTTGAATCAAAATCTTTTTTAGCACCCCAAAAATGAAGGAGCCTCTTTCTTCTCCTTCCTTACAGAGCATCACATGTGTCTTTCTCCCTTCTATCATCAGCTTAATAGTCCTCTAGATCCTCCCTAGCTTCGCTGTATCTTCTCTATGCTGTAATCAGCACTGCCCCTTGAGTTCCAGGTGAAGAATAACCCTGGATTTGTGGAAGGGAGAGAGCATTGTCCTTTTGCCGTCAGCATCCTTCCTGACAATGCCTGGTATCCTGTTGGCCTTTTTGGTCATAGACACATTGTGCTAAAGCGGCAGAGAGTGCTCTACAAGACCCTTTTCTGGATCATTTCCCTTCACTGAAGCTCAGCTGATGATTTCTGTCCTCACACACAACCTTCCAGGTCTTCCTTAGGCTGATTTCCAGCAATATAATATTTCCCGGTAGCTGTCATTCACCAACCTGATGTACACACGCTTTAGATTGCTTACAAAAATGCTATGGTGAACTCCAGTGCATCTCAACATTAAAGCTTTCACATAAAATAAAATAACATTTTTAAAAAGCTTTCACTTGAGAGAAGTACCAAGTTTTCAACATATCTTTTCCTAACTTTAGGTCTTTAGATCACTACCTTTGATCCCATAATAAGTCCATCTAAAAAAATATTTTGATAGCCAAAAAGCTATAACCTGGAATGGAAGGGAAGACAATACAACTGCTGAGCTGCCACTTGTTGTAAATCTTTTCACTGAAAATTAGTGAACCCTCAAAACATATTAAGAGGAAGCTTGAAAGAGGGCACCTGAAACAGAGTATATAATTTAAAGAACCATTCATTTATAATTAAGATTTCAGCAATCTCAACTGTGAATCAAACTTTCATAAGATAGACTTTTGCTTTGGTCAATTAATATAGCTTTAAGTATCCTGAAAAAATTCACAAAAAAATTAAGAGTTATATTAAGAGTTAAAACACTTAATATAAAGAGCAGAAAAAGCCCAAATGAAGCCATTTGCTTTTAGAAATTCCAACTGAACAAGCATTACTCACAGAAGAATTCCCAAAGTTCCCCACATACTTGGGCCATGGGGATGTGAGCAGGATATCAACACCCTTAAACTGAGGGGTCGAACACAGCATTGTTCTCAGGGAAGAGACATCCTTGGAACTAAAACTGTAACCTGGGACTGGCTCATTCAAGGACTCTGTCCCACTGAGGTACACAATCTGCAGCCCCGAGGTTCCAGTGAAGACACCTTTCCGCCCTGGGTTCAAAGAAAAATGGACAAGTTTTAGTCAAAACTGCAAAATGAAATGTCATTATGGGGATAAATCTCTCCCCACGCCACGATTCTGCTACCTCCATGCCTTCCATGTCTACTGTAAAGCCCTAGAGCCCCTTCTGGCTGCTGGGTCTCAGTGTCGGATGGCTACAAGGTGCTCCTGTTCAGTAAGAGCAGTAAGAGCAGCTGCTGGAGCCCACTGGTAAGTCTGTTTACCCAGGTGCTAACGAAAAAAGGTGGGAAGCCAAAGGCTTCCTGCTTCCTAGAGGAGATTCTGCATAGATTAAAAGGAAGCCAGACACCTGGACATAATGACAGATGATGAAAAGAAAAAGATATCTGCAGTTCTGAGGAAGGTATAGTCTAGAACAGATGTACTCTTCATGCAGGAAAACGTCTCAAAAGAGCAGCTATTGGGGAAAAATTAGCGACTCTTCTAAATTTATTCCTTGGATGTGCCTTCAAGACCTTGCTCCATCAGTTTTCACCTTCCTTTTATCTACTAAGTCTCTTCTTCTCAACTGGCTCTTTCCATTCAGGAAATAGAATATTAAGTATACTAATTAATATACATACTAATAAAGGCACATACTAATTAATAAACACACATACTAACTGATAAAGAAACCTTTTCCTCTTCAGTTTCACATTTTTCAGAAGAGTAGTTCGTCCTAAGTCAGTGGTTCTCAACCTTGAAGTGCTTTACCTCTTAATTAGCTGCTTAACCGACTGCAATCTAGTTTCCCTCTCCCACCATTCTCTTAAAGGTCACTAATCACCAATCATCTCTACTCCTGAAACTATTCTCTCTTCACTTACTCTATGAAAGATACTATCTGTACCTCTCCCAACACACCTGTAATTACTTTCACCTCTGTCTGCCTGCCTTCTAAGTGAAGATATATGACCACAAGAAACTATCATCTGCCTGCTTCCCTTCTCATATTTTTTTTAAATGTATTTTATTGATTTTTTTACAGAGAGGAAGGGAGCGAGATGGAGAGTTAGAAACATCGATGAGAGAGAAACATCGATCAGCTGCCTCCTGCACACTCCCCACTGGAGATGTGCCCGCAACCCAGGTACATGCCCTTGACCGGAATCGAACCTGGGACCTTTCAGTCCGCAGGCCGACGCTCTATCCACTGAGCCAAACCAGTTACAGCCCCTTTTCATATTTCTTAACAATTTGATCCTCTTCTCAGCTTTATTTCTCATCTTTGTGGGACCAGCTCCCCAAAACCTATACTCTCCAACACTGACCTCATTTATAAACTCTAGAAAGATCACGTCCCACTATAAGTTGGATGTTCTGCCAGCACCTCAAGCTCAGTATCACATGTTCACTATTAAGTTCATTGTTTGTTCCTCCTACTGGATCTCAAAAACTCTCTTTCACAGAAATAACCTAAATACCTCAGCTGCTCTTTCCACTCTTGGCACTAACTTCATATGGTAAACTGGCTGTCATAAATATCTACGGCAGTGGTCTTAATCCAAATCTAATAACTACAGTGAGAATTGCCATAACTCAGGCCCAAAGTAAGAGCTACAACAAAAGGTGCTGGGAGCTGGTCCATCCTTGCTGTTTCAAGGGACCTGGCATATATGGCATACTGTTCTTAATATGTTTGCTCACCTTCTTGGCACTATGTGTTTTAACCAAGGTCACCTCTCTGAGAAAGGTTGTTTCCCCAGATAGGGATTTTCCCCTGAAGTTAGGGAGGGAATAAAACCTCTTAACTGCCAGGCGGGTAATTAATCACTTTAACTATGAACAATCATGCTTAAGTACATAATCTTTACTCCCTGGAATGGAGATAAGAAACGCCCTAACCTTTGGAATAGAGATTGATAGGATTAGAATCAACTGGTATAAATACAGATGCAACAAGACAACAAGAGACAGAACTTAGCGACAGACCTCAGAAGACAGACCTTAGAACACAGAACTTAGCAGACAGGACCTACACAGAACCTAGAATTTCGCTGGAGAGAACATGGCAAAAGATCCTGGACTGAACCTGACTACAGAAATTGGCAAGAGAACCCGGCTACAGAACCTGGCGACCGAACCTGGCTGGAGAACCTACCGAGAGAACATGGCCACAGAACCTGGCTGGAGATCCTGACTAGAACTTGGCTAGAGATCCTGCCTAGGCTGCTGATAACTGAATGCTGTCTCCGTGTCATTCCTTCTTCGCCGACTCCGTCCACACCTTTGGGAACCCCTGGACCCGCTGGGGTCGGACCCCAGCAAAAAGGATCTCAAAATGTATTTCTCACAATGGCGGTTAAAATCAACAAATAAAAATCTGTCCCTCAATTTTTTGCCTAAAAGAATCTCTTATGATTGAAACAAGATGAGCTTGCTTACAAGACGGTCATAGTCAGATGTAGGGAATCAAATAAAGGCCAAATGGATTATGGTGGGAGGGAGAAGGGCATTAACAACAAAGAAAATGTAGAAGAGAAATGAGAGACCAAGAAAGAGGAAATGTGAAGAGCAGTGGAGCTATTTTAGAGGGAAAAAATGAGCTGAATGATCCAAGAGGCTTTGGACTGACAACTAGTGAAGAGAAAACAAAATAGCCCGACACTGAAAAGCCACTAAATGAGATGCAGGGGGGTGGGAGGAAACAACTTTAAGGTGAAACTAAGCAGTGGACCTGGAACCAGAAAAAGGACAAAGGAAGTGAAAACCCCAAGGATCGGCACTAAAAGCTTCAGTTTCAAAAACTCAGTGAGACCCAGAGCTATAGCTACTAAGGAATCTGTAAAGTAAGCCGTATGTTATATGGTGAGACCACATACATGGATTATTTTAAACATAATTTATACTTTACTCTCTCTATACATAGTCAAGTAATTTATTCCTCTGTTTGGCTGAAAGAGTACGTATTTGGTTGTGGGAACACAAGATTTGAGGGAGGTGGAACAGACCACAAAGGTCTGAACTAGATAATACCCTTACCTCTCCCAACATTCCTGTAATTACTATAGTCTTAGTCTTAAGGGTATAGACACAGACTTTGGGAAAGAACCCCCCTCACCCCCATTCTGTCAGGCAGTAATAGCAGAAGAATCTAGCCACAAATTTCCTAGGAGACTTTATTATGTTCACTACAAACACAAAAAAATACCAACTTACCCAGATAAGTAATGTTCTCAGCTAATTCACAGCCATCAGCATCTTGGAAATATTTTACTGTTTCCTGGTTATTGGCACCTAGCACATATGTCTGAATAGGAGCTAGTGAGAGAAACAGGCATGGCACCACAGAGTTACCAGGTCTGCTTTGGAACTTGAGCAATGCTTCCACATAGGAAAAATAATCAGAGCAAAAGTAAAGAGTCTGCAATCCTACATGTGGAATATGACCACCAGTTAGCATATCCTACACCCAGCCTTGGGGCCTGATTATTAAATGGTATCACTAGGATGATGAAGTGAAATCTTAAAGAGGATGGTCAATGTATACTTGGGAAAAAATAGTCCCTAAGAAGCTTAAAAAACACACATACTGATACTGGAAAAAGGAAAGAACACATATGATTTCATTTATTCAATTCTGGCCTACTTGAAAAAGAATGATTTTTCTGGAACTAAATCCAACCAAATTCAAAATGTGAATCAGCTCAATGCAGAGCTCAAAGGGAAATTCTTAAATAACTAACATTTGTGAAAACAACCCAAAAGAGACTGTGTAGTCTTAAAACTTTGTTAGAAATCATTTGATAAATAAAAAGAATTTCTATACCTTTTTTGATGCCAGTTTTATACTCCTCCCATTCAGCATCTGGAGTGGAGCCAAAGAAATTTCCTACACACAACAGCAGCTAAAATGAGTTTTTTAAACAGATATATGAGTTTTTTTATATCAAATGGTACATAATTGGTAGTAACATTACTTAGCTAATTATCCTAAGTAATGGTTTCAAACCAGGTTTTTTTTTCCTTAATCAACTTGCAGAATTTCAATACATAATTGTTTAGTAACAGTTGTATAAATTACTACATTTTGTCTTAGTGACAGTCAAATTCAAGTTGGGAATGGGGAAGAGGGGGTTCAGGGAAAGATGGAGAAATCAACCTTGAAGAATCCTCTGTGAAAAATAAAACTTTAAATATTAGACACCTTGAGAAATACAGGGCATAAAAAGCACATGTGCTGCCTGTGGTCTTTACTCAGCCTTTAACCCAATCAGCAGATAATACCCATACCGAGAATACTCTCCTGTACGCTAGGAGTTTACAGTCTAGTTGGCAACCACACATAACATTTAAGGCTCTTTGGTTTGTGAAGCACTTGCTCATGTTATCTGACTTAATCTACACCATATACTCATGAAATACATCTGTGCTTCCCAACCCAGTGGTCAGAATTACTTAGGTGGGGGGAGGAATGTATAGGGAGGTAAATGGAGATGGACGGAGACCTCACTTGGGGTGGTGAACACACAATACAGTAGTGTACAGATGATGTGTTGTGGAATTGTATACCTGAAACCTGTATAATTCTGTTAATAAATTCAATAAAAAGGAAAAAGGAATGATTTAGAGATGTTCTGCTAGTCTGTTTTCATATGTGTGTACATTAATAAAGAGATTGAAATTTTAAAAGCATAAAAAGGTAAACAGTTCTCCTTCTCCCACTGCTCTGCAGCTACTAAGTTCCTATGCTCACAAAAGGTACCCAATCTAACAAAAAAAAAAAAAAAAGGAGTATGAGTTAAATCAAGAAATGAATAAAGGAGCCCAAACTTTATTTTTGTATGTTGACAGTAAAATTAAATCAGAAAAAGGAAACATCTTACGTCAAAGTTTCCACTTTTCTTCTGAATTGCTCGAACTCTATTGAATAAAACATCAAACTTTCCTTCAACATCTCCACAAGCCAACCTGCAAACAAGAGATAAACATTAATGCAATTCAGGAAACATGAGGAGGCCTGCCAGGTCTTCCTGGATCACGCAGACATGTGATCAAGTCTTCCTGAGGCTACCTGACAGGTTCAGTGCATGTGAACTATTACTGACCAGGGGCAACTTCACCCGTCTCACCAACACCTTCAACTCACCCTACCTAACGTTTACCTTATCTTTTCCTCCAAAACTGAACCAGCTTCTCCTCACTTCCCAAATATTGTGGATCGGTCATTCACCAACCTGGTCACTAAGAATCAAAAACCTCCCCTCCAATCCCCAAGTGACATCAATCCCTTTTTCAAAACATCTCGCACATCCATCCTGTCCTTTTTATTTCCATTGTCATTATCTTAGTCCAGAGCTTCAATCGTCCATTCAATAAATACATACTGAACACCTACAATATGCTAAATGCAATATACCAAGTCCTATGCTAAGAACGTATTAGGAGTACAAAGAGGGGTAAGACAGCTCAAACCTCGGAGTTTACAATCAGGGAAGGGAAGATACTTTTGTAGTCATAAATTTATACAGAGTGGATCAAAAGTAGGCTTACAGTTGTCTGCATGAAAACTACAATAATTAATAAATAATAATACAAAAATAAACTGTGTTTCACGTACTCACAACTGTAAACCTACATTTGTCTCAGCCTATATAAAAAGGGCTTCAACAGCCCTAGCTGGTGTGACTCAGTTGGTTGGAGCATCATCAAATACACCAAAAGGTGGCAGGTTCGATTCCCAGTCAGGGGTTCAATCCTGGGTCGGGATGTGTGCAGAAGGCAACTGATTGATGTTTATCTCTCTCTCTCTAAGTATCTATAGAAATGTATCCTTGGGTGAGGAATTTAAAAAGGGGGGAGAGAACAATA